AACAACAACATAATGAAAGTTTGTCGGAGACTAAATCATAAAAAGTTTCGACAAGAATAAAATTGATTAATACTCTTCCATAAAAAGCAAAAATTGTCACATGTTACTTATCGTTCTAACAAATCCATCAACCTCGTAAAGTGAATCGATTGTTTGCACAGAGTTTTAATTAAGAAAGTTTTATTACTACGTTGCCGGTTTTTGCGAGACGCTAAAAAAGAAAGATTACTTGACCATCATTCTCCTCCTTCCCACCCTCAATCTTAACAACACTTAAGCTCATTACCTTGGGGAAAACTTGGCCGAGATTCACGTGTTTTTATTTTCGCAGGCAAGGCACCTGATTGAAGCCTTTTGTTTCGAACCTTTAATTAAGATTAAGGAATTTTCGTGGGTTTTAAGATTAACAAAGTGACGATCATGGTAACTAAAATTATATAAAAATACTTGAAGTTTTGGTTAAAAGATCACTCTGTGTAAATTAAAGGCCAAAAATGCCAAAATTCTGACAATTTTGTTGGTTTCAAAAGTAACAAAGTGACGATCATGTAAATGAAATTATGTGAAAATACTTGAAGGTGTAAATTCAAGGTCGCAAAGGCCATAAATGCCAAAAGAAAAAAACCGTAGGCCTAAGCCCGCGCCACTATAAATTCATATTTTTCCGTCCGAAAAGGGGTGGAGTGAGGTTTTCCATATTCCTCGGCTCCCGAATTTCCATATATCTCATAAAACGTCGCGGCGCTGGTAGATATATGTATATTTTTATCTAAAATTTTTCATATATACCCGCGGCCTATAAATGGGGCGAAATTAAGGCTGTTTTAAAATGGGGACGGATTTACAAGGCCGCAGTACCTCGAGAACAACACGAAAATTGTTTGAAATGCCTTTTGGGCGTCTTAAATTGAGCCTCATATTTGAGAGTAGCGGAAGCTATTTTAGAGTAAGATTTGTTTAAAATGAAATTCTTGAAAATTTTCTCCGCATAGCATGCTCTGTTGCCATTTATAAAGGAAACATCAATACTAAGCAAAACCAACATTTACCTATACATTAGGGTTGAAAAATATAAAACAAAAATTGACGACACACGTACAGGCACGCAATGGTTCCGTTTGACATTTAAATGAGTTCCGCATTTAGATTTTGTGGGCTTGATAACATTATCATGTTGGAGGGAATTGTTCAATGGAAAGTTTTCAGTTAGCAATAAACTCTACATTTTTTGGTCGGTAAATGCGAATATTTTAAGCAATATACTCCGCATGCATGAACCAGTGTAGATGTTCAAAAATCAAAAGTATTAAAATAGCCATTAAATCAAAATCCACAAATTTTCCTTAGAGATTCACCATATCTCTAGCACGTAAAAGTAACCAAGCTGTAAATGCTCGACATCCAAATAACATCATTACACATATCCGAGACAAAACTTGTAAATATTTATAGGCGATAAAGACAAGGAAAAAGATACGAAAAACAACCCCTCAGAGTTATCATTTTTCGATTTATCGCGAACTCCCTTTGGGAAATCGAAGCCTATAGACTCTAGAGCTATAATAATATCTTATCCCCCTTATGTGTGTCGTTTTGTCGCGGTTTTTTTTTGCTGCTATTGCCTTTCGGGGGATGATTTTAGATAATTTCGTGTTATCCTTTCAGAGGGTTGTTATCCTGAGACAAAATATGTTTCAAGAATCGATTGGCTTTTCAAGTTTAGAGGAAGATGTAGATTAGAGAAAAATTAACATTTTTATGGTTTATATAGTTTTTATGTGGCACGAATTACTGGTGGAAATGCCCACTTTTCCAAGATACTCACAATACCTTTCACGCCTTTTAAGCAAACTATTCTACGATTCCAATCACGTCACCAGATGTCGCCCTCCACTAGCGAATTTGAAAAGGGTTGAAATATTTATAGGGCACCGTTATATTCCATCTTTTTCTAGCGCGCGCGCTCACACACACACATACACACACGACGCAAAATTTATTTTTCGTGTATGTATAATATTCAATGGCAAATTGAATATTATATTTTTCAATAGGGTGCATGACGGGAATAGGGAATTTTTATTTTTATTTTCGGAGGATTTATTGTTGTGTTATTTGCGAATTGGAGCTTTCCTGGAAGCGCGGCTATGTTGAATAGAGAGGACGATTCTATTATCTAGAAAATGGACTATATTTTTATTATTTACTAGGAAATAGCGTAGAATTTATGTCAAGCGACATAGTTATCAAGTTGCTGGATCTGTAAGTTTGGGAAGGTGGTATATATGGTAAGGCACAGTACTTAGGCTACATTAGACCCATTGTGCGCCTCCACAAGAGGAGAGGTCATCCTTAGCTCGTCATCCAGCCTAGCGATTCAACATAGGTGATGACGTCGCCGAGGGCGGTGCCACTGTTCTAGAGATGGGTATGATTGGCGTAATCTGGATCTGTGTTTTGGCGAAACAGCAGTGCAGTCACAAAGAATGTGCTCCGTCGTCTCTTTTTCTTGATCATAAGCCCTACACAAGGATGTGGTACTGAGATACAACCTAAACAAATGTTTGTTTAACTGACAGTGGCCAGTCAAGATGCCCGTTTCCTAGACAGCGACGGTCTAGACAGCGCTAGTACTGCTTATCTGCAGTCCGTGTGGATGTGCACGATCTTGTCAGTGATATTGTTGCTGACTATTTGTTCGGCCGAGATGGTAATGCCAGTAATTTCAGTTTTGAGAACATTGGGCATGGAGCCGGGGGTTAAAGTTAGGTTCAGTTTGAGAGCTTTGGAGTATACTCCGCATCCCGAGCCTGTTTGCCTTTTGGAACCATCAGTGTAGATGTTACTTACCCCTGCTACTGTGTTGTTTTCAAAGCCTTTCGTGTTGATTGCGTAGTGCTTTTTGGAGACGAAACATTGAGTTGCAGAGTACAATATAGCCTCCAACAATGGAAGCGAGGTCGTTGCCTCACATCATATGCGGACTCCCTGCAAACCGATTTCTGCACTTGGTTCTATTCCAACAGTACGGAAGCGCATCATTGTGGTTAGAACGACCTTCTTCACATAAATATCCAGAGGCGTCAAATATAGAATAACTTCCAAAGCCCTAGTTGGTGTGATTATCATTGCACCAGTTATGTTGAGGTAAGTCATTCTTTGAACATGGTCTAGTTTTCGGCTTATAGTAGTCTGTTCGGCCTTATGTTCCTAGACAATAGCCCCCATAGGTAAGCATAGGCCTGATGATGGTTGTATAGATAGTACGTCTACACTGTTCATAGACGATGTATGCTTTCTGTATTCTCTAAGCAATATGAGATTTCCATGTTAGTTTGCAATCGAGTGTCACTCCCAGATGTTTGACCTCTTCTGCGCGCCATCTTTCTATAATTTGAAGAGCATGTTGCATGCGTTCACAAAGCGAGTTCTCGAATTTTCCTCTATGCAAGATGATTACATCATCTGCGTAGGCTATTGTGTAATGGTTGTCATTGTTTAGGCGGACAATATGGTTGTCCAGGACCATGTTTCACAGGAGAGGTGATAGCACGCCTTCCTGCGGGCAGCCTCTTGTGACCATTCCTTTAATGTTGACATCCTGCACACTTACCTTTACAATTTTTTTGGAAAGCATATTGAATATCCACCCGGTAACAGGTTCCGAAATATTCCTTTCTGTTAGCGAGTGACCAACTTTTTGAAAGGTGGTTTTGTTAAAGGCCCGTTCAATGTCGATGAAAACCCCGAGGGCGGACTCTCTGTTGTCCAGCGATTTTTCCACTCGCCCAGCAATCAGGTGGAAGGCCTGTGTCCGTTGATTTCTTGGGCATGTTGATTAGGGTGGAGTGAATTGGTTGACAACACTTCATCCCTTATGTACCTTTCGCCTCTCCATTGTTTTTAGAGAAAATGAGAAGAGGCTTATGGGGCGATATGCCTTGGGGGTTGTGTAGTCCATCCTCCCTAGTTTAGGTAGGAACACCACTTTAACTTTTCTCCAAGTCTTGGGTATGTATCTCAGCTTGGGTATGTATCTCATCAAAGACGCCCTAAACATTTCTACCAGGTGCGGTAAGTGTAACAAAACGGCCTAAAAATCCTTTAATATAATTAATTGGTTTCTTTACTCAGCGAGATTAAGTCTGACGAAACCGTGTCACGAGCCAAGGGTTATCAGTCGGATCCCGAAACAGTGTCCTGATTGTGTCTTAAAATACGACTCTTGACTCCTGGTTTCATAAAAAAACCGCATGTTTTGCGACCGATAAGAATCCCAAAAGCATCATCAAGCTGCCAATATAAATAAGCCTGTGAATTTCCTTGATTCATTCAGTTCTGTAACGAAGTTCTGGTGTTTTACTTTTACCATCAAGGAATGCCCTATACAGGACGCTCACTCATTGATTTCACTCCCTATCATTCCGAATCTCCGTATGTATTTTCTTTCATTTCATTTCAGTAAACATGGTTAATAACCTACTGTATATTCTTTACTTTTCTTTCATTTCCTTACCAAGATTTACCATTCATTCAATAAACCGAGCTAGCATGCCAACTAAGTGCGTACAGCTCAGGTAGCAAGAACCCGCACTGGAAAAGGCAATCTAATCAGATTACTAAAAAGTATCCATTCAAAGTTACTTAGATTTTCAGTGGGACTTTAAACAAAGTCCGTGGTGGCACGCTACCGCAGTACAAAAAGGCCTTTACCAATGCTAAAACAGAGTTTCTCTTACCCAACCGTCGCAACCAGGTGGCGATGGTAACATAAGAGTGGCTTCAGACCCCACTGAAGTAGGGCTGGATAGATGCCGTCACGTCCTGGTGCTTTGAAGGCGGAGATGCCTGTTATAATTTCTGATATTGTGGAGGAAATTTGACTAGCAAACGTCTGAAGAATGTATAGCTCAGGGATATGCCCTATTGTTCTAAGATACCTAAGATATTCATATTAAAATTTTGACTACCGAAACATCTTAATCACTGTAATATTTCTCTTATTCCAGGTGTAATCGCCTTAGAACTCGAACGACTGCTCGTACCGAGTCACGCGGTCCGGAACACTAGTGTCTCAATGGAGTGCCACTATAAACTAGAAGGCGAGACACTTTATTCAGTCAAATGGTACAAAGACGGCAACGAGTTTTACCGATACGTACCCAGAAATCAACCTCCTGCCCAAGTGTTTGCTCTACCAGGAGTTACTGTTGATGTAAGTATGTTAACATTTGATAAAAATGTCACCAGACATCCAATTTACTCAATCTCAAATTGCGCCGCCGAAATTAGCCGCTTTACGGTCTTTTTTCAACAGTCATTAAACTCGCTACGACTCTTTTCCTCAAAAACTTGCCGCCCCCCAAGTCATAATCCGTTGTCCTTTATGCTCGCCCCCCAAAGGCAACAAAGTGTCCGCAAAGTTTCTTACTTCAATTATCCAACTTTCAGTTATTAGCCACCCCGCCAGCAACCGTAGAGTTTCTTCTACACAAAATAAATTAAAGCCGGAGCCCATTAAAACGTGGTTGCACTGGCTTGCTATAAGGGATTCCTTCAGGAAATCGTTGCTCGCACAAAAGCTTTAACTGTTGTTGGAGGCGTCGAGGGCAGGGAGAATAGTTTAAGTTGTTTCGTTCCGGTGGGGGTGAGGAGTTAAGTCGATTCTCCCAAATAAAGATAGTGCTGTGTGGCAATTGACTCTCTCCGTCTAAACTTAAAAGCACGACGCCCGAAATGCCAGTTAAAGTTTTAGTGTACTTTTAGGATTATGCTTTCGGGTAATGAAGATAATATGTTGATTTTATTCACTAAAAATTGAAAGTCAAAAAACAGATTACTACGTAAGCTCAACCAACTAAATATCACGTCTTGGTCTTAACCCAAAAACTAACTCTCCGCGAAACTAAATCCCTTCCTTTAAAACAATACGGTATTGTCCCTGTTAAGTCGTACGGCATGCCTAGAGATTTGCCACCAGCATTGTCCATACCCGACAAACTTTCCCGCACTAACGGACATTACACCCTCAAACTTTCGGAGGTTGGGAAATTTTGCGGGTCTTTTGTTCTTAGCCAGTCTCCGACACTGTTTAACAATCGGTTACAATTCTTTGTCGAAAATAACAAATCTATAAAAGAGAGTTTGTTTGGCTAACAATCCAGGCTATATTCAGTTTGTTTGAGCTCGTTGGGGATTATTAATCTGTTTGTGTGTCACAAACGAGGTTATATTTGTTTACTAAGAGGGATTAAAATGTTTATGCTTTTTTGTTTGTTTATTGTATGGAGAATCGGGATAATAGAGCGGAACACAAAGGAGTGGAGCTCGTCAAACATAGAGACGAGGTTGATAAATTACCTATAATATTGAAAGATATTCGATTTTTGTTTTAATATGATATAGGAAAAATAAATAAGTTAAAATTTCCACTTTTAAGTAGTATAGCAGGGCTGTTTCGGTGACAATAGGTAATGAAAAAGTGGGATTAAGGCAAGGTCTTTGGTCGCATAAACTCCCTTTCTATACTACTAAAAGGGCAAAAAAGTTTTAGAAACAGTGGAACCTTACCACCTAGTTTTTCTTGTTCTATATCAAAAAGCAGCTTTTCTCAATTTATCTTAAGCTTTTCACAGTAATAGGTACCCAAAGCTGTTCTGATTTTCAGATTCAAATAATTGCATAAATTTCAATTGTTAACGTATGTCTAGATTCTAAATTGACTTTCCAAATAGAAAACTGCCTGAAACTCAGGCACGATCTATTAAACCTCCATTTGAAGGAATTATTTTTAAAAGTAAACTTCGTCATCCGTACCTCCGTCTCTTCCTTTTATACGCGCCGAGGCACGTACGATTCGAGGTGAAGCCAATAACGTGCGCGGTAAGTGAATATTACATCTGTATTATGGAATATTCTCTGGGAATATGTACAATATTTTATGGATGTAATGGATACTTAAGGAAAGTTTTAGGCGTCGCGGCTGGTCCGGGATTTATGGCTCTCCATGTAAACTTTGCACGAAGATAAGCCTTTTTAGCATAGAATTATGATGATGATACAAAATCAAACATTTCTTCTGAATATTTTAGCCCTTTCATTGTTTGGGCTTCGAAAAGATACTTAATTTATTATCTCGTTGGCTTTTTTTTTTGTTCGTGAAAGCTAACACTAAAGAAAAAGAGAATATTACTTGGGGGAGTTTCGAGTGTTGTTTTGTGGTTTTTTTGGCCGGCGACTTTGTTTGTGTTTAAGGGCACAGAGAGTGGAACGAAAACATTGTTTTTGGCTTCTTGACCGTGACATCTATGAGAGTAGCAGTGCTTTTTTTTTCTCTTTTCATTGGCAACCTGTTTTTATAGGTTGGAGACAAAAGCTGATGGAGAATTTTACTTTACCAATCAAAATATTTGCTTGAATTTCAGCAAAACAAACTCAAGTGTGTGTGAAGTGTAAAATCTTTAAACAAAACTTGATGCGAGTCCGAAATTTGATTGAATCTGGGTCAGCATATACAAAACACTTTACTTTACCATAGGATATTTCATAGCAAAAAAGATGACACATTTGGCCGGTTTTCAAAAGAAACCAGCTGTATTCTGTTCAATTTTCTTCAAATATGTTCTGTATAAGATTAGTTTTTATACTTTAGAAGGTCTCAGATGCAAAAGCTCTCGGTAATAAAAGTTATAGCGACTTTCGATGATATTTTCAAACTCCAGCCTAAAACCATAAATTCACACTACTTATATTTTACTATGTTTATAAACTTCATGAACACAAATCCCGAGACAATATTGTTTTCGGAAATATAAATGGTACTAAATCAAAGTGAAGTAGAGTAGAAGAAATTGTACTGTGTGTGTAGTATTGAGGTAGCTATCCAGAAATAAAATTGTGGTAAGCAATTTGGGGTTATTTATCAATTATTCAAATTTTTTGACTGCCTTTTCTCATAGAATCCGGGTCGGCTCCAAATCTCAAAATAATTTAGTATATGGAATTTGGTGTTGGAGCAAATCAATAATTAATAATAATAATAATAAATGTGTCCAGTCTTAACGTAGCAACACAGCTTGGCAACCTTGTAGAATGACATCTTATTTTCAGCTACTAGCCACTAACCTAAGTTTTTCTAGTGTGTAGTATAAACAATAAGCAGGCGCTTCATTTATAAATAAATAGTCCTAAAAACCAATTAAAGTGTTTTTACCTATTCACAAAAACATATTTCGCATCAGGTTATGGGCCCAGGTCTTATATAATACCGTTTACAATAGTTTACTTCTGGAAATAATTGTTTTTTTTCTGTGTTTCTGCCATTGCGTCTACTGAATTTTTTTGCTCCAAAATGTCCGGTTATCAGTTACCACCAAGCGAAAAACTCCGTGGCCGTGAAAACTATAATACTTGGAAGTTTGCCATTCAGACGTACCTGAAACATGAAGAACTGTGGGAATTAGTTACAGGTACCGTTACAGACACTGAAAATATGTGAAAGCTAGCCCTAAGATTATCATGTTTGTTGATCCCCTGGATTATGTTCATATTTAGACAGCTAAAACAGCTAAAGAAGCATGAGACAACCTTAGCTAGTGCATTGCAAGATACAGGATTAACGTGGCGTGCTGGACTTCTACACCCCTTGAAAATAGTGATTCAGTTGAAGACTATGTCAACAAAAATATCACTACAGCTCACAAGTTACCAAACATATGTTTAAAAGTAAGTGATGAGTGGGTAGACACTATTCTTCTAGCCGGCTAACCAAAATCCTATAAACCTATGATGATGAGAATTAAGAGTTCAGGCACTCCAGTTACAGTAGACTCCATAAAAACTAAATTTTTACAAGGCATTTCAGTTTCTGAAAGTGAAGGAGGACAACAAAATGTTGCAATGTGCGGTGCTGGTACATCTGGTAATTTTCGTTCATTTAACAAAGACAAAAACAAAAAACAACGGTTTGTGGTATTTGGACTCTAGATGCTCAGCTCACATGACTGCAAACCATGAAATACTTCAGAATGTTACAAAGTCTTCTAGTTTGATAATTACCACAGCAAATGATTCCGTTGGTGAGACAAACCTGTCATTATGTTTTCAGAAAAATATATAATAAGTTAAAGCAAGTGATATTTTTCTTGTTCCTGAGTTGAATGTTATCTTTTTGACAGTGAGATTGTCAGCAAAGGCAATACTGTAGTTTTTAACTCTGAAGGTGCCAAAATTTTCAATAATTCAAATGAATTGATGTCATGGAAATATAATCTGTTCAAATTAGATATGGAAATCTCAGTTAATGTCGATATGGTTCTGCATTGTTTCATGCATCAGCTGATTATAATAAATATAATGTATGGCACAACCGTTTGGCGCATGTCAATTCAGCAAATTTCCATAAGCTAAAAAATGGACTAGCACTTGACATTGACTTGAATGAACATTTTAACCAAAGTTTTGTATGTGAAGTTTGCATATAAGGAAAAATTCATCGTTTGCCATTCGGAGAAAGTGACTCACGTTTCATTAGGCTTCTAGAATTCGTCCATTCGGACTTATGCAGACCCATGTAGGTAAATTTATTGTCAAATTCTAGATGGGTACATACTTACTTTTCTGGATGACTTAATTCACAAAAGTTTTGTGTATTATTAAAAAAATAAGAACCAAGTATTTGAATACTCCAAAATTTTCAAAAATTTTGCCGAAACACAAACATGTCAAAAATCAAATCATTTAGGACAGACAATGGTAGAGAGTACTGTAATAATGAATTATCAAACTATTTTGAGTCTACAGGTATTCAGCATCAAACTACAGTCCCTTATAGTGTTCAGAAAAATGGTAAAGCCGAAAGGCTGAACAGAACAACTGTGGAAAAAACTCGTTGTCTTTTGATCGAGTCAGGTCTTCCTAATAATTTTTGAGCAGGGGCCGTCTCTACTTCTGTGTACATTTTAAATCGTTTGCCAACTAGATGCGTAGAGAAAAGTCCTGAAGAAATTTGGAGTGGACATAAGCCAACAGTGAAACATTCGAAGATATTTGGTTGCAGAGCTTTCTCTCACATCCCAGAGAAAGAAGTTGGACCCAAAGGCCATTTCATTCATTTCCATAGGTTACAGCTTGGCATCTAAAGCCTATAGACTTCATAACGCTGAAAAAAGAAAAGTTTTTATCTCAAGAGATATCCAGTTCATTGAGGCTGAAAGA